TAAATATCCAGCTATCGAATTATCTGTAAACATATCTTCGTTATAATATACGTTGATGGGAAAATTATTCTAACCGCGATTTCGTTATAGAATAGTACCTATACATGTACAGATTCGTATTTCCTTTCACGGTTTCACGCATGGGCGTCACAGACACACACATTTATTTTTTCTTAATATCAAAATACAATCGGTTTGGGTCACACACGCCCGCAGTTTGAATGACACAGTAATCGAATAATACCTACCTTATAGGTACAAAGGGTAATGTAATAGTATTACATGCATAAAATATAATATAATATTATGGTTTTAAAATAAATTATTCCGAACGCATGCAAACGTATATAATAATAATATTGCATATTATGAAGTGATCAAAATATAAAAACCTATACTATCATTTTATTATTCAACTCTATATAATACCACTATTTAGTATGCGCGTACTGCAGACATGTGTATGTAACGCTACGTTATGATTGATGAAGAACATAGCAAAAGTGTCACGCACTCGCGAGTATAGTATTTTGATAAACATTTTTTTTAAACACTAATGTAATTTTATAAGGCTTTCCTCCTTCTCTAGACCAGTTCTATTCCCTGCTCGTTTCTCTGAACTCTACAGTCACGAGATTAAACCCATTACGACGGCGTAACCACACTCAAGCCGTACTTGACAGCTGCTTATAATCAATAATAGCTTAATAGTTGACGAATTACGAATTACGAAATTTGTATTGACACCGTTTTTAATCATACAACAATGCTGATAACATTTCAATATATTATAAAAAATAAGAGTTTTCCCCGCGAACCCGGATGGTAGGTAGCGATAATCGCACGATGCTTTCAGACGTGGAAAACATTCTCGCGATACCGGTTTATAAACATAATACCATTTTGTATCTACGTTTTCCTCCATGCAAAACAAATTTCGCAAACGGCGTGACGGACGTCTCCACATCCACGCCGCCGTCACACTGCCAATGTCAGAATTAGCAATTTACTGTGGCTGGCGCTATATAATACACAACACGTTTATTATATATATACGTTATAGTATTATACTTATATCGATATACATAATGTATATTATATTGTAAGGTATCGACGACGACGAGACGGGCTTAGAGGGGCGGGTTCCCACAACCTCCTATCAACGCGGTAATTATTAGGTTATCTAACGCCCGGTATCGCGGAACTCTGTGGCACGACGGCGACCAGCTCCGCGGCGGCGTTCTGCAGCAGGCGCCTCGTAATTATAGGTATATGCGCTCGTCGTATAATGATTTGACCCATATATTTTCAAGAGCCTCTACGGGTCACTCGACCTAACCTACCTAATTTAACCATACCCAATCTAACCATACCCGTGTATATACATTATGATACGTATTTCCCGCGAATACACAAACACGTATTATACATTTAATATTATTATTTATTATGTACCCGTGGAAAACCGTTCTTTTTTCCTCTTGGAGACGATACAGTGAGGTTTTAATAAAATATTGAATACCTAATATTGACGGGATCGAACATAATAATAGGAGCGACGGATACGCCAAACGACGACAACCGCGAACGAGCACACTTCGAGAGGATAGATCCCTGCGGTCATCTACGGTTTGAAACGCGTGCCGGCTTCACGCGACTTGCAGTGTTCGCTGTCAGCCAACCAGCAGCTGTCTGAAGTGCAGTTTAATAAATAATAATAATATTATTATACATATTATCATATGTAGGTGGTCAGACAATAATGATGATTATTAAATAAGTATTAATAATGCACAGTGTGAGTGTGTGTGTGTGTGTGTGTAAGAGATACTTAGGTGCAGTTGTGTTCGCACGCGCCGGTCATCCGATGCCGATTTGATTGACGTCGCATTCATCGTGCGTTGCAGTATAATATTATTATGCTGGGACAGTAGGTTTAATATATATATATATATATATGATATACCTGTATAACGAATGACGATTTAGGTATGACACGTGCACTTTGTAGACACCGTCATAATTGCCTGTATCGAAAGCTTATAATGATACCACGTGAGTTTTCGTAGGGACTAGTGACTACTATAATATTATAATTATTGTCCACAGTTAGAGTGAATTATATATTAATTAAATATTATCATAATTATTAACTACCTACTAAATATTTTTCGTACAAACGTACCATTCAAATCCCGAATATCTCCCAATTGAAAATATAATGACTCTTGTAATCGTTGTTGTCTCCATAATTTTCCTGTTTATATTTTAACGATTTTATGGTAATATGGTCACAGATTGAGTAATGAATGCACATTGTGCCATTGTCTCTATACTGTCAAACGTCAATAAACTTATAGATATATATTATAATATAAGTACATAATATACCAGCTATATGGCTATCGTCTATGTACATTGTACATGGTTTTAATTGTACATCCTACATTTACAACACTGCAGAGAGGTCAACCGTGTGTATAAAAATACAGTTGTGATTTGTGCGTTCGTCAAGTTGTGTGTATGAAAATGTCTAGTAAAATATTATGACAACTGAAGTCCCTATAGTGGCCATTGCTTGGAGAAATATATATACATACTGATTGGAGCAAATTATTTGCAGTATACAAATTACAAGGTGAATATATTACTATTATACCTACTATAGAACCTATTATTTACAATATACCTACAACCTACTAATAATAGGTATTTAATTTGATTGTACGAAATAACATTTTTGCATAATTCATATCATTTTTTTTATTGCAATTTTATATTAATATTAATATATTTTATTAAAACCAGTCCAACTAATTAAGTGAAACGGTCGTCACAAATTGCAGCTTAATTCTTAGTAATCTGTGATCATTACATGAATATGTAATAGCTTGAAATTATCTAATGTTAGGTATATCGAAAAGGCTTTTACAAGTACTTGAAGTACCTACACGTCGTTAATTGTCCTCTCTAAATCCTTGAGTAACTTTTTTGATACGTTTTAAAATAATCTTAATGAATTCCACTATACAAAAATATCAACGCAATTTTTTAATAATAAGTTATATTAGTCAAAATACTTATAGTTAATTGGAGTTAACCTATAGAAACGTGTAAAACGTATTCTTATAGTTAAAAATCGTTTTATAAATTGTCATCTTCAATATTTTTTTTGCATATGCTGTAGCTCAAAAATACAAACACGACGTAAAAACATTGACCTCGCTCTCTTTTTTTTATGGTTTGCAATCTGCCCGTTGTCAAAAATGAAATTGGCACAGCATCACATGCCACATAAGCATGTGTTGGACATTCGGACGTCCATATAATTGTTATAACGTTATATAGGTATAACCTAAACCCAATTGTTCAATTTTACAACTCTCGGGTTTTTAAAAGAACCACTTACTATACTTATTGCAGATTTAACTATGGTGTATAAATTAGGTAGAGTAACCCATGAAAGTCTGGATTTATTACCTGAGTACATGTTATGTATTTCACAATTCAGTATTAACGATATAATAATATATACCTATTGTTGTATCGCATTTACCAACAAAAGTTTAAATCGGATCAAATGTGATGAGTTAGATAAATTATACAAACTTCGAGAATTTCATACAATAATTTAATGCTGCATATAGAAAAGTATAGGTATACTAACTATAGCGGCTACCGCGCGCATACCGTGAGCGATATCTATTATAATAATTAAGTTGTCGGAACTTGCTGCGGAAAGATAAGTATAATGTATAAATATAGATAGTACCTATCAATACACCTCGTTTGACAAGGATGTCCAAATGGAGTAAATTTTAAAATAATATACCGTCGTTATTGTCCTGTAAGTGCAGCGCATGACGATAGAAATAGAATAATAATTGCATTTTGCATTATCCAGTATTCACTGTACATGTGTTTACGCTGCAATACGACGTAGGTACAATTTTATTGCAAATACAGACACACGCCAGGGAATATACCACTACACAATATGTTAATACAAATTGTCTATAGTCACGCGGTTCATTCGATTGCCGCGCATTTTCAATTTTCACAACATTGATCGACTGACTCAATTATTTATTGTTGCCGATGAAAATAAAAAACCCTTCTAATACAGATTTCTATAATAGTAATAACTACTAATAAGTAATAACTAACAACCTGCAGTATGAAGGTCAATAGAATATATATAATTCCGATTTTAATTATTATGGTCTTCTCTACCAAAATTACAAACTACCGTTGGTCGTTACCGTTTTATTAGCACAAAATATGTTGAAATATTATGTATCGTCATTGTTTCCATATTAGGTTCTGGCACGGCGGCACGTATAAACACATGCGCACACTAAGAATTCTAACCAATCGTCTAGACTTTGTCTATACAAATAGCCTATAGGTAATTGTTTATAAGTATTAAGTATATAAAGTACGCACTAACACTTTATTCAGGTGATGCAGTAACTATTAGTTAAATGAAATACATTTCACACTTGCATATTTTAATAACTATTATTATTGTAGGTAAGTAGTGCACAGTTGCATTAACGATTAACTTTATTGCACTTATTTTGCTGCTCACTACCTAAATGACTATATGAGAATTTATGTCGTATATGGTAAACGACAATACGAAATAATATTTTATTATACTTTACGTGTAAGTATTATATATACCTATACGGCTATACGTATTTGATTCAATAGCTTTTTTTAAATACTTAGTTTTCGAGGGAGATCCATCAAAAGTTTAAACAGTTAATAATTTAATAGGGTTCTGATTGAAAATATAACTTTTCAAATTAAAATACTCAATACAATTTACATTGGACATGTAACAAGAATTTAAATGTTCTTGGTAGTAACCTATAACGAAAACCAATAACTGTAGGTACTCCAATCTACTTTTAATATATTTAAAAATAACTTTTTCCATTATTTTAATAAGCCTCTATTTTACAAATGTATTGAATTAAATAAAAATATCTTACCAGATTTCCCAACACGAGAACTTCCCAACACTACAGTCCGGATACGTCCAATATTCGTCATATTTATGTCAATGGGAAGTATAGTTTAACTGAAATATAAAAGAAAAATCATTATTTTTTATAATTCTTTATATTTTATGCAACAATAAATTCAATATAATGCGTATTATTTTTAAAAATAATTGTCCAATATTAAAATAAACATAGGTCTTAAACTCAGAAAGTGTACTAATTATACTTTAATATTACCTATAGTGAACATATATATATAATAAATATATATCATTATTCATAATTTATCAAACACATATCTATCATGATGTATTATCATATTTATAATAAAAACTAATAACTAGATAATTAGTAATAATATATTTAAAATGTAGGTACCATTTAAATTATTAGTTAAACTGCAATTATCGCAGAGTTTCAATCATTTTTGCATTAAATTATAGTATATTTGCGTGTTTAATACTCATTCATAATTTTTGTTTGTTTTTCAAGATTAGTTATCATTTTTAAATACTAACTGCACATGAGCACCATGTAATTTAAATTTTAGGTATATTTAATATATATATAATATTTATAGTAATAACTTAAATAATACATTATTAAAATTTTAAAAATAGTTTATGTATGTAAAACTATTGTTAAATAATTAATATAAAATAAAAACAATCATATCTAGGTACTTAGTAGGTATTGCAAAACATAAAATATAAAGTGGGTGCCTACCACTATTCGCCTATCGCCCCACAACAACCTATATAACAATACGTCGGGGACTAGTGGACTACCACAATGTATAATATTATACTGAACCTACACAAAATACTAAAATGTATTTTAATAACTGTACATTTACTAATCTGTGTAATATCCACAACGTTTCCAACCCCACTTGATCAGTAGGTACAACCTCCCACTTAGAGATCATATTCAGGACCACTGTATCCGATATAAAATAAGTTCCATAAAAATGTTAAGTATTGAATGATTATAAAACGAAATACGAGGTCGAATCAATTTTGAACAATATACATGGATACTTAATACGTATATAATTCCATAGGATATACAATTAATCATAACCATTTCTCTAAAGACAAATCTAAAAATGATTAATCATCCATAGTAGATAGTTTTAAAATCACCTAGGTATTATATAATTGTTCGATTTGTTTATTTTGACATTAAAATATTAAATTATTACATAGGTAACTATAATATTAATATATAAATTAGAACAATAAAGAAAAAAAGGTAAAACTGGCAGAGGGTCTTGTACCAATAAAAAAAAAGTATATATTGATTTAATAACAAAATAATATATTATACTATTATACATTTAAAATTAGTGATTATTTTTGTAGTTTAGGTGTTACAGTGTTAGGTAACTAATTTTTAAGAACTTATTTTTACAATTACAAAAAAAATATTAATGTAATACCTAAGTTTGTAGGTACTTATTTTATTATTGTAAAACCAGTTGTCTTTCACTACGTATCAATTAAATTTATTTTGATCAAAATAAATCTATCTAACAAGTAACAATATAACAGACAATAACATAATAATCATGTATAAAAATACGTAGATTAAACAGTCAGTGAATCTATCCAGCACTAATTTAATTAGTTAATTTTTTTTTAAATTGTAGATGGTTTAAAGTACTTATACATACTTTTAAAAATATGTTTTCAATATATTTTTGTTACAGTTAGTACCTAATATTAATATGTTTAATTTATCTATTGGAAATGTAGGTATATTTTTTATTTCATAATCAGAGGCGAAATACTTTCCTAACATTTGCATGTATAAATATTGAATATTGAACATATTATACAGTTTTATTTATTAATAATCATTTATTAAGTATAAATTCAACTTATAAGTAGGTAGGTAATTGTACTTAGTTAAATAGTAAAATGACAAGGTATATTCCTCTAATGTAGTGTTCCACTACTCTGTTCTCCGTGACTTTAGACGGTAGTAGTATACTTCAAATTATAAAACAATAAATTGTCATTTAGAAAATAAATAAAAACCAGTATATTATGGTAAAATAAATAGGTAGTAAAATACCAATTGAATTTTATTTCGAACTACAATTTTCGAAAAGCATTTTCTTTCAAAAACACAAAAATTGACTCGGAAAATTAGTTTAGCATGAAATTTATGTACAGGTACCTAATATAAAATACATTTATCGCACGCAAAACGATGTGTGCATATGTATAATACCGTAGACGGTTTTTATAATTATTTAATATTATAGAAATTAAAATGCTTACCTCGGTTTTCGACTATAATATGGGCACTCGTCAATGCGATGCGGTATTTGTAGTAGATATAATATATTCTATATATATTAAACAGTTTAGACGTTTGTGCTGTACCAACCATCAATCAATCTTCTCCACGAAAACTATGACATTTTTCGGCAGTTATGACGAAGCGGTGTGGCGGCGGTGAGCGGTGAAAATTCGCCATGCGTTTTACGAAATTAAACTCTTCTACTTTTTTTTTATCACGAAAACTATAATAAAACACGAAACGACTAATGATGAATCAGTCTCGCCCGCGGCCGTAATAACGGAAACGACTAATTAATAATATTATAATATATCACCTTCGTCTACACCTGCACCACACACGCACACTCTAAACGGGCGACCGAACGACACGGAGAACACGTTGCGACTGATCTCGTCGGCGGCGGAAACGTCGTGGAAGAACCGCGTCGCCCGTAGGGGCCAATCGCATCCGTCCGCGGACGACGACAGTGCACCGGCGGTCCGCCCCCCTCGACGGTTTTCCCGCGCGACATTCATCCACGTCCAACTATTTAGTATTATGATTAGGGCAGATGACATAATAATATTAATATAGTCCTAACTCCTAACAAAGCACAACATTTGCAAACACTTATACATAAAAAAAAAACAATCACATAATCTAACATGCTGTACGAAAATGAGATCTACGTTATTTTTTTCTAAATAGCTGATTGTTTGATAAATATCAACAAAATAAATAGCATCTAGTAGATTTATTTATTCAATTTTTCTTACGAAGAAATTTTAAAAAAAAGTGTTATTTTGTCTAAATCTATTGCACTATAAACGAAGTACAAAAAAACATCACTTGGAGATTCATTTTCGCTATAGCTAGTGTTGTATGTGCTAACCAGTTCGGATTCATTACCTTCAGGCTGCAGGTACTGATTTTTCAATGTTCAATAAATTGATGACTACTTCTGGTGGTAATTCAATCGGAGATTTGTTATGCTTAGTTCTTAATGCTGTTATTTCAGATGTTCATAAAGGACAATGTTGAAAAGGTCTATATAACGGTATGTCGGTATTTACGCATGCATTTCGTCAACATTCTTGGATCCGACTGATACGAAAATGATGTGATCGTATTCGTCTGGACGATTAAAACAAAACCGATTTAGGTACAACTATAAACATTTAAAATAAAGGTTTGGCTTTGCAATGGATGGTGTTAGATGTTGATTACTATAATATTCCCTCGCTTCTTATCCAAATTTCTTTTTTTCCCTTCCACATAATTTTCATCACAATTTCCCCCTGCTCGGAGGGAAATTTCCCGCAATCTGACATCAGTTGCGGATTGTGAGGGGGGCTGGGGAGCTGCTAAAGACCCCCTATCCCGCATGCGCATAGTATATTGTTACATTTTAAAATACCAAAACAATAAATAATAATGTTTAAGTGTCAATGTATTTATTATTTTTACATATATTATTATAATCGCGTCCCAAAGAAATCGTTTTTCGGTCTGTTCGCATAAAATATGGCTATCACTAAGCCAGTTCAAGTTATTTGATTCGATGAACCATTTGTTATTAAATAGTTGTTATTAATACTATTATATTATTATTTATTGGGTATGTACAAGTCCTATATAAACACGTGTTTATCTCTTGTACGTACTTTTCGCGTGGGTTTTATAATAGTGCCCTTTATTTATTTATTTCGAGAACTTATTAGATGACCGATCGATCAATCGGAAACTTTTGCAAGTATTTTGTACGCCTGCGGTTATACGCAAGGTGTTTTGGGAGTGTCAACAATATTATCATCACCTATTTGCTCGATGTTTAAAACTCAGATCAGTAATGTTTTGAAGTACCTACCTATAACTTTATAGACGTGCCTTAATTAAATTAGGTGTAGGTTAACTGTTTTATTTCCGCCATAAAATGGAAACATATTATTTTTTCATCGCATCGATTATACGTATAGGCAACTGTAACTACACACTTTTAACCAGAGCCATTCCGAGAGGGGTGGTGGAGAGACATTTATTTGTCTTCACTGAATGTTTAAATGTAAATAAAATCCAAATCATCAAAGTTTAAAATCCTCGAACATTTTATTTCGATTCCTAAATATTATTATTGTCCTTAGTCAAATTGTATATGCGTATAGGTAAACCACTTATTTAAGATACGACGTAAGTCCATAAAAGGCGATTCTGAGAAAACAAGAAAAAACTGTTTTCACGCTACCAGTGATACATGGTTGTTTCTCTTTCATACTGATTATTTACAGTGGTAAAATTAAATAATTTTTTTGCAAATGTTCACACCATCATTTGATAACACATTTCACTCAATATCTCGATTTGTGATATTTGGTGACTTACGTCGTTTCTCAAATAGGTGGTTCAGATTAAAGCGTGGTAACGAGTTGGGAACATGACGAATTAATTATATTTTTTTTAAATATGATATCAATCTTTAACTAATTATAAATATGATGTTCCAAAACTATTTTGAAACACACATAAATAATTATAAAATCAATACATTCACCGCCTTGCTCAGAATCTAAAAAACTAAACACATCAAAATGTTATATTCTCAAACTCGAGTTATATAAATAAAAATGAAAATATTTTATAAATTTTATAAAGTTAGGCAGACTATATGAGAGTTAATAATTTGCATCTTAATAAAGATTTGTAATTTTTCATCACTGCTGGTAGCAGAAAATAGTGTTTGTAATTTGCACCAAAATAGGTATCTACGTATTCGATTATTCAGTACTCATTGTGCTGACTATTTGACTGACAATTATTGTTTCAAATATTAAGACTTTATTTGCAAATATACATAGGTGATTTATATATTTATTACAGGTATATAGCAAAATCTCTGTGAGCTCAGTTTGTATTGGGAAAGTTAAGTCCTAAATAAAATCGTGAATTAATGTCTCATCGAATGGTTTTTTCTACCTATTTCTTAAATACAAATCAAACTAAAATAATTATGTTAGAGCACCTATAAAAGTATAGACACTTCATCAAAATCTAAATTGTGTACAAATAATTTAAAATCAGATTCAAGTATTTAAAAATAATATTTTTGACTTAAATAATGCAATTTATTATTTTAATGTTATAGGGTAGCTTTTAAGTCAATACCGAAGTATCTACCGTAGTACGATGTAAATAGGACCTTATATAGTGAAATAACCACTCAGAATCTAAAACAGAATATTCAGCTGTGTTAGTAACTTCTCACATTGCAATAAATATTGTACTCAATACTATCGAAACATATATGTAGATATAACATACCTTAGGTACTATCGAAAGAATAATCGATTTGAATTTTGGTGCGAATTACAAACACATTTAAAAAATGTTGGAGCAAATGTTGTGAATATTTTGATTCAAATTTACTTTATTTTTTCCGTCCAAAAACCAGAAACGGGTGGGAACTGTTTAGCACAATATACTGCCACCCCGATACAAATTGACAGCAGTCGCTTCAATTACATTCAAATGTTGAGGACATGTAAAATGTAATATCTTTAAATCAATAGAAAATAATCATTAATCACAAACCAATAATTATTCATTTCCTGTTTATTCTTGGACATTTCTATATTAATTATGATTCTTCGTAAAGCAACACGATTATAAATTAACGGTTGGTAGACAATGTTAAAAATTTGAGTTAATTTTAATAAATCTATATAAAATTAAAGTGAAATTATCATGTTAAACAGATTAAAATTGTAATTTTATAATTAAGTTAATCATTAGTTTCAATAAAACAGTAACGAGTTATTGAACTTGGTTAACTTGTTATTCAATTTTAATGTTTAACCCACACTTTATGCTCATTCTTGTATTTTTTGTATTGGTACTAATTAGTTAGGTACATCACAGGCACATGATAAGTAAAAAGTTCGTTTAAAGGCACCTATCTTATAAATTGTAACTATATTATATTTTATTCGACGACATTTTTAGTATATAATATTAGATGGACATAAAGTATATTGTTGGGTATACTATTATAAATGAGACGGTCTCGTACAATAGGGACATTATAGTATGATGGTATAGTTTGGTAGTAAGGACAGTAAGGTATGTGAAAGCCGGTTTACGCTTGTGTCTATATGTCTTATGTCTATGTAACGAAATAAATAAATAATCTCAATTTCATATCATCATCATAGCTGCGTATCATATTGTGTATGGCCGTTACACGTTTTGACGGTTTTGTTTTTGAAAACGTGACTATATGCTTCAATGCAATAATAATAACAATAATACCATGTACGATATGGGTATATCTCTTTACTCATAAATTATTGAAAATTTGAAAACTTCTCTTGTGGTACTATATAGAACGTATTAATATATTATACTCGCAAATCCATAAATCCCAGTCTAAAGCCTTTTACGTAGTCGCTCTACATAGTACCTATATACATAGAGGCAAATAGTAAATGCTACACCGACGATAAGGGTGAAAAGGGTAAAAACTCCAAATGATATACATTCTATATAACTTTTTCCTATTAACTGTGAGTCTGTGAATTGTTTGTATGACTATGATGAATATTTGAATGATTGCCAATATAGTATACAATGTTTGCTAAGAATTTTCAAGCTATTTGTTTTAATGTTAAATATTAGCTCAAAATTGAGGCGGGGGCTATTTGGAATCTGGAAGTATTAACCTCCCTTAGAGGCTTCCCTTCCCCTCAAACTTAACACACAAGCAATGCATGGCACTGATCTTTATTTTTATTTTCCCTTATAGATTTCTCCTGAATTTCTTCTACCAGGCTATATAATTAGATACTTATTATGGCAGATGACGAAGACCAGTCGTCAAGTTCTATAAATTGTAAAATTAATAATTAATAATTATAATCATTTATGTACCTATCATATTATCGCTTTGCTTGGAATCTTATTTTTATTCAAATTTAATAACTAAAAAAGCCTGGCCATGACCTTGAAAAGATAAACCTGGACGTAGAAAAGAAAACTGAGTTTGAAAATTATCAACTATCAACAACTTGTTCGTTGCTAATGGCTATTTTTCTCAATTTTCTCACTCAACTGAACGTTGTCCGGGCACCACCGTTAAATTATATAATATATTACACAATTTAATGATAAAAAATAATCGTTCATAAATTTTCTTCGGCGTCCAAAAATAATCAGCCAAATAATATTAGATTCGTAAATATTACAAGTTAAAATGATCTGTTCGAAGTCTTTACTTCATAATTAATAAAAGCAATATTATACATTTTTAGATTTTCTATATCTGTCGTTTAATTTAATTTGTTCAATAATTGGCTTAAGTGTTTTTTACAATTAATTATTGTATACAAATACAATGATACATTTGAAAAAAAATAATAATACGGCGTTGTGGTTAGGTAATTTAAAGTCCATTAAAGTATGATGATAGCGAATCGATTATTATGAATGTTAAAAGTAGGTACTTAGTCGAAGGCTGTATGCTTAAAGTGAGAATAATGATTATTAATTATAATTCAGGTTTGGGTTTTAGAGGCGACTGTTTTTTTTTTTATTGGGGATACCTAATAAAAGAAAAATAATTCTTAAATAAAAATGTGTTTCATTTAATTTCTTAGGAAATAGGTAACCATTATTTTTGTCTTTTTATTACCTATAAATGCTTTTGGGCTTACTGACTAGTAACTGACTTTTATAATTTAATGAATGTTTTGTTTCACTTTTTATTTTTGTTGTATTGCCTTCAAATCCGAAACCTATTGGTTGTAGGTACGCCTACGTAGTATATAATATGCAATTTTATGAAACTGAGAATGAAAGAAATAGCAACTAACTATAATTAAAACAATTGCAATTAGAATCATTATTTATTTAACAGTTTTATAAGTATCCAATGTTCTAATCGTTTATTATACTGAATATAATTGTATAACTTATGTAGGTATAGTACAATAAGTTACACCTTCCTTGGAACGCTTGCCAAAGGTAGCGCACGTTGGCCAAATTTTTATGGCACGTGAAACTATTTTTATTTCATTGTTAAATTTTGCATTAAATGATAAAAAATATATATTGAGTGTAAAAGTGTTTTATTTCTAAAAAATTAAAGTATTAGAAAAAATTTGGAACTCACTACTTTCACTCTTCCAAAGATACCTGTATATAATTTACCCTGAAAAATAGTACCTACTTCGTCATTCCAAATAAACTAAATATTTACGTCAACATAATATGTGAAAGTTTATCTTCCAAAACTGATTCTTTCATATCAGAAAAAGAGAAATAATACATATTAATGGATGTATGAATAATTACTGCTATTATGTTTCATTAAAACATTTAAGATTAACCAAATAAACAACTGATATTAAAAAACACTGTATTGGCATTTTTTTTAAAAAACCCCATCACCCTGAGAGAAAACTATTTATAGGTACCTACCAATAAACAGTAAGAAATAAGAAATTGGCTCATGGATTTTTTTTTGAAACTTTGATTACAAAATGTTGGCTCATCACCCGAAAAAGGATTGGCCAACCATATGAAATGATAACTATAATATTTTATCGCGAAATCTTGTATATAATACTATTACTAGTTGCTACTTTGGTCTTAAACTTTTAACTTCTTCAATAACCAACAATTGTCTTAAGATAACATCTCACGTCCGTCAAAAGATTCTTTACAAGAATAATTAGAATCACTCGGGTAGAGTTAACCTATGGAAAACAAATCCGACGCAGTTTAAATATTAATATTTCCTGTGTTCTCTCAGTTTTTATTAATAACATAAAAAATGAGTAAGTTCTTAGTTTTTAAATGTTGGTGTTTTTGTATATACAGTAAGTTCCCGTTATAACGAATACCGATACAACGAAAAATCCCGTTATAACGAAAGTCATAGAAGTACCCTACCGAAAAGCTATTAAAACAATGTTAAACTAATCTCAATATAACGAAATGATTGATTTTTAAAAATCCCGATACAACGAACTATTTGTACAGCGTACAGGTTAAAATATATGTATTTTCCCTTCTTAATTTATTTAATCTAATGATAACAAGCATACGATTTTACGAAATTATCAAGCCATTAAATTTTCATTATGTGAGACCGTGTTATTCCGCGTCAATCGATAACGCTACACAATCAGTCGGGTGTAAACCTTCATAAAGCTCTCACGTTGGTAATTTTTATTTTTCCGTATTTTATGCTACTTATTTATGTACGTACGTGATAAGTTCTACTGTGAAAAGAAAGCAATTTTCGTTGGAAGAGAAGAAAAACATAATTTCTGAAGTAGACAAAGGATTGAAGAAAGGCGAGGTGGCAAGAAAGTATGGCATATCTCCATCAACATAGTCAAACATTTTAAAGGACCGAGAAAGCATCTTGAAACAACTGCAGACTTCTGTTTTTGACCCGAGCAGGAAAAGGATGCGTAAGGCACAATTTGAAGACGTTGATACGGCGGTTTACAAATGATTTCAAGATGTTCGTTCCAGAAACGTTCCTCTGACCGGCCCTTTAATTCGAGAAAAAGCCTTAGAATTTGCTAAAATGCTCGAAGTTGAGAATTTCCAAGCAAGCGTCGGATGGTTAAATCGTTTCCGTGAGCGGTATGGTGTGTTGTCCAAATGCATTTCTGGAGAGGCGAGTGACGTGCCAATGAATTCTGTTAGCGGTTAGCGAATGGCGAAATGGAGAAGTTGCTGCACTCATCAAGAAATACAACCCGGACGATGTCTTTAATGCGGATGAAGCTGGAGTGTTTTTTCAGCTTGAACCAAAAAGGACATTAGCCCAGAAAGAAGACAAGTGTGTAGGGGGTAAAGCTTCCAAACAACGCATCACCGCTCTGTTCTGTTGTAACAAATCGGGAACGGAGAAACGAAAAATCCTCATCATTGGCAAATCTGCAAAACTTCGTTGTTTTAAAAACTGTAAATCATTGCCATGCATCTATAAATTTAATAAGAAAGCATGGATGACCCAAATAATTTTTAATGATTGGTTGATAGATTTTGATACAGAAATGAAAAAGAAGAAGAGGAAAATTCTTCTTCTTATCGACAACTGCACTCCACATAATGCACCACCAAAATTGGATAACATTCGTGTGGAATATTTCCCACCTAACTGCACAGCTGTACTTCAACCTCTTGACCAAGGTATCACCAGAGCTGTAAAATCACGCTACAGAACCTTTTTGTTACGTCAAATTGTATGCGATTTGGAGAAAAATATCCAAAGAAAATGTAATGTGAAGGATGCTATCGAATGGATATGCTGAGCTTGGGATGATATCAGTCAATCAACAATAACTAACTGTTGGAAACATGCAACCACAACCAAAGACGCCAATTCTGTTTCAGAAGTGGCAGAATATGATGATACGCACGATATCCATCAATCTGAGTTAGAACAAATTTGGATCACTGCAAAAAAGAAAACGTCGCTTCCTGACGACGTGAATTTAGAAGATTATCACGGTGCAGATGACAACGTTTCAACATGTTATGAACTAACCGACGTAGACATCGTTCAATCCATTAAAGACAGCAAAGATGAGGCCACCGATGAAAGTAGTGGAGACGAAGACGAAGAAGCTGTGATGGGAAATGATGTGCGCAATGTCACTTCATCAGAAGCCTTATCAAGTTTGGAAGTAATGCGAACATTCATTACATCACAGAGTAATGTACCAGACTTCATCTTTACAAACATTCACCAACTACAAAATTATTTACTTTCTATTAAAATTGCAAACCTTGTTCAAAAGAAAATTGTTGATTATCTATAATGAAGTTATTTATTTTTTCGCAAATTATTTACATTTGTTAAAATTGTCAATTATTTATACGTAATAAAGTTATTAATTTTTTCCGCAAATTATTTACATTTGAATTATTTATTTATTACATACATATTTGTATTTGAATTATACATATGTATGTACATAATGTTTTTGAGTTTGTTTTTATTCAAATTTTCAAAATTTCGTTATAACGAAAAAAACATTCGGTCCCTTGGAGTTCGTTGTAACGAGAACTTACTGTATTATCAAAAAATTATAGTAAATCATTAAAGAAAAAATTAGGTACCGAGGGAACACAAATAATTTTTTCCTCTACTTTCTGATAAAATTGGTGTTTTGAACATTACAATAGGGTTCGGAGTTCTTATTCTTGCAAAACGAGTTTAATGAAAAGTTGCATTAGTACAGATATACATTTTAACCAGAAAAAGACTTGTGGCCTGTTCAATTTAGACATTTAGTTGTATAGACAGTATAATGCTTCACCTGTGGAAAATATAATAACCACTAATTTTATGGTTTCTTCTAGAATATTTAATAATGTAACTTTTACTATCAATTTGAAATTATATTTCCAAGGTATTTGATAGTATTGTTCTATTTATGGGGTTCATTTTCAGTAGCTTCCTTACTCTTCAGAATTCAAATACATCTCGAACAATTCAATTGGTTAGAACTGAGAAGTAAATTTGAAATTATAAATACAACAATAAATAAACATTTAATCATACAACGGAAGGCAATATAAATCTGAATCAACAATTGAAAATTAATTATTTAGTCTTAACAGAGACCTGTTGTGCGAATTCCACTTTTCCAAACGAATATATAAATATATTATAAATTTATAAATAAACTGAATATACCATATAAAAACATTGTAAATCTTAACTTAAGTCAATTGTTTCTAAATTATTTTCTGATAAATAATATAATATGTATATTACATTTAAATGTCTAATACAACATAAATTATGTTTGTTATCTGCATTCTATAAATGTTAGTAATACTGTTATTAGATTACAAAACAATTTAAATACAATATAATATATTTATTATGTTGAATTTCTCAACATTTAAATGTCAATATAATATAACTATATTATGTAATAATAATAAATAAATAGCTAATGAACTAGGGTGTAATAATTGTTATTCTGTAATTTCTTCGAAGTTTGACTAGACCAGGTATATTTTGTGTATGTATATATATTAGGCAAATACAAATTGGGAAAACTCTATACACATACTGGTAACCGATACAATAACATTTTGTTATGAAAGCTTGAATTTAAAACAAAACTACTTGAGTTTAACATAGTAACTGCGCCGCCTGATTCGATCACTGACAGTTTCTTCACTGCAATTTCCTATTGTCCAGTCCAGTAAAGCCGGAGAACCATGATGATAATAATGATTGTTGTCTTCTTTTGGGACCAAACTCTTGGAAGAAGTGGTAGTAGTAGTGGCAGATGATGACGATGAAGAAGATGATGGGTCTTCGTCATTATTGATGCTAGAACTATTAAATTTTGAAATTGACCTACGATCAACTGACAACGGTATACTGTTCAAAGTTCGAGTTCTGTGTTCACCCAAACTCTTCATCGAATACGATTTAGACAAGAGGCTGTTTTCAGAATTGGCCTTGAAATCTTGGTGTGCAGCAGTGGTTGTAGTAGAGGTCCCATCTGAACGGTCGAAAAGTGCATATGGACTAACACTACGAGGCCCTGATTTTTTTGTATTTTCCTCATTGCCACCAGATTCGGTCATCATTGTTGATTGCAGCAACAAGTTATTTTCAGTCGATGGCGCAGTTTCAGTAGAAGCATTGCAACTAAATGATCTTGAAAATTGCCTGGAACAAGAGTTGGACGGTTGGCGGCGGTACTTTTCTAAGATTCGGTCTACCCGAGACTGGCGTTCCTTGACAGGATCAGAAGGCATGTTGTATATAGATGGCTGGCTTACATGTTTTGGAGGCGGTGACATTGGCAATTTTATTGCGTTAATCTTGTCACGGTAGTTTAAGTATTCATTATTAGTTGTGGTTTCCAGAACCCGTGGCAGAATGTGCTTGTACACCGGTGGTTTTTGAATATTAGTCGTTTTATCAGCATTTCTAAGCAATTCTGAAAAACAAACAATTTGCAAACACTAGTTAAGAAACAGCGACAAAGTCACATATAATATACATTGTGAAACAATTTTATTTATTAGAAAATCGTGTTAGTATCACTAAGAAAAAAAAAGAGAGAGACAGTTGCGTACCTATAGATTTGTGGCATAGGTAATATGTATAGATTTGTTTTTGGTTTAAATTATGGACAGGCAGAAGGAAGTATCATTATTACTCGTCTTGTACACGTGGCACATGCACCGTCACATTGGCTGCAACAAAATAAAACACACACATGCAATACTCCAGCACAATCTTATAGTTATACTTGTATGTCGTGTTGTGTATAAAATATGATTTCCTATTGATGAAAAAACTCCACTGACTTAAGTTTATTCTAACAAATTAAAATGTTAATATTAATTCAATATTTTTTACAAATATTGATTTTAAATACAGTTTCAACTACTTGTTCTAAAATTATATTTTGTTTAAAGGTTTTTCTAGCATTATAAGTTTTAAGTCATGATATAATTAATTATTTTACACTGATAATGAGTAATAAATAATAACTTATAACATTAAATGTCAATATATTTCACTATTTTAAATATTAACAGTTAAAAGTATAACATTAAAACCAATATTATGTTTAGCATTTAATATTTTAATTTTATAAAATATATTGTTTATTAAATGGTTTACACTATACACCTAACTTCATAAGAATATTGAAGAAAAAATATTTTGAACAAATATTTAATGATATTATAAATATATTTAATATATTAGAATAGAAAGAAAGAATAGATTAAAACTTTTTAAAATTAATTAAATTAATTTTTTAATAGCAATTGTGAAACTAAAAATGTGTTAAAAAAATATTTATCATAATATGTCTGTTGGCAAAATAAATGAGTATAAAAATGAAAAATATTTATATTCAAAATTCTCGGTGCAATTATAAGTTACATACTTATTATTTGAAATTTAATAACTTTATTAAAATTCCTAGATGGTGTAGATAGAAAATAACACACACTCTTACAAATAATTACAATTTTAGATAGTTAGTTTATAGAACCTATACCCTATTCTGAAAAAGAATCTCTATTTGCTCGTATGACCGAATAAACCAGGTACGTTGCTCAACCCAACCCCTCCCTAATGTCAAAGTTGGCAATGATCATTTCTGATTTGTACGCCATCACTGATATCTACATTCTTATAATACATTGAGTGCCGGTTGTAAGGATAAATGTTCAGTTTTGACATGTTTTCGTCTGTCAACCCGGACATTCTTTTTCTGAATTAAGTATATAAATATTTATTCATGAATCAAAGAGTATTTAAAATGTTACATAAGAAGAAGGTGTGACAGTAGTCCTAAAAAGTTTTAAAAATTTTTTTTAAGCATATAGTGTAATTAACTTTAATTATTATTTATTTTATTTTAAATGTATAGTTTAGAATGTTAAGATATATCCAATTATCTTACATTAGTTTATATATTATTTATGCACATACATTTTAATAACTGCATTGAATATCAATATATAATTAAAGTAATAAGATTGCTATCGATGTTTCTTCATACTAAATACCCAAATATCACCTACTTTATGAGTACATAAACCATATTTACTATTTAGTAATATTAAAATGTTTACTTCTTCGAATAAAAAACAATACTATAGAAGTAGTTATATGTGGAAGTGTTTTTATTTGTGTTGTGTGTATTGAATTAAGCATTGATTATCATATTTCTTGATCAGGTACAATTAATGTTATGTAAGAAGGCCTACACACCACTAATATTCTATGCTACTGTCACAAAAACACAAATTAATATTGTAGCTAAATAGTATTGCCAACAGATTATACTTTTCTTTATTACGAATAAATAAATAAAACCAACTTGTTGAAGCCCATAGTTTCAAAGATATAAGTTTACCTTTAGAAGAAGTGTTAGATGGACTATCTTGAGTGGTAGTAACAAAACTTCTTCTCCATGGGGCACTGTCAGACCGATTAAATGATCGAGTTTCAGTTAGACGGCGACTATAATTAATAAATGTAACAAACATGAAATTGAATTAAAACTTAAGCTTTGAGAAAAACATACATTGGTGTTTGGTGGTCAAATATAGAACGATGATGATTGAAAAATGATCTTGGGAAGTCAGATGTTCTTCCTTCATCACTGCTCAATCTATTTGTTAAATCCCGTACCTATAAAATATACACGTATATAAATTATTTCAAATCTTATAGATTCAAAAAATATTTTTTACTCTGGATAGTAATGTAGAGAATAAATTCTCAGCAGTTAAAATTTCAAAACTGTCGTCTTCCTCATCTGAACTTATACTTTCAGTTGATTGTAAATTTCTCATAGATGGCCTTTGTCTGCGTGTGCTACGCAAAGTGAAACATCTAGGCTGACCGCCAACTGTACCATTATCATCATCACCCTTATCACTATTTGAACTAAGACAAACAATTAATTACATTAAATTTAAAATATTTGTTTGTTTAAAGATTTATAACTTACTTTGTTCTAGAAAGTGCACTATTACTAGGCGTAACAAAACCTCCACCTTCAACAGCGATGGGTATAATAACTTCACGGGGAGATTTCCTTATAGGCTCACCTAAGCTTACAATACTGCTATTACTATCTGTGTCCACAGTACTTTGTCGTGACAAATTGCTGCAACTGGTCTTAGGACTAGTGACAGATGAAACTCTTTGAACTGGTTTAGGTTTTGGTTTATCTTCTACTTCAAACCGTATAGGTATGATGTGCTCACGAAGTTGACTGTTTTGTCTCAAAACAGGTCTAAAATAAATTTAAAAATAATAAAGCTTCAGGGTTTTATTTTATTTGAATTTACGTGTCCGTCAAAAAAATTAATTTAAAATTAAAATAAATTATTCTATAGAATTATTCTATTATAAAAATAATAACCACAGTTTTAGAATATAACACAATATCAGATTGAATAAGTAATTCAATATATTGTAAAATAAAGTGATCAGAAATGAAAATTACGAAAAATTTTAAATTTGAACTTCTGATCTTAATAATTAACGATGTATATAAATTTTACCTTGGTGGTAATGGTGCAACTGCAGTTGGAGTAGCTCCAGCAACTGGGAAAGATACTTCAGTGATACGTCTGGTTGGTTTAGGCACTTGTACAAAATGTTTTACTTCAGTTTTATAATTTGCATCTATTGGATCATTATCTTGAACTTTAGAATCATTAACAACACTAGTAATTGGTAACCTAAAATTAAATAAATTTGTATACTTCATATACAGTAATTTTAAAATTTAAAGTATGATTTAATTATTTTTACTCGGGCTTAGCTAATTTTATTTCAGCTCTTGAAGTTTTCCTCTTAGGTTCAACTACTTGACTTGTATTACTGTCAGAAATGGAATCTCCAATTATCTAAACAAAACCATAAAAGATATTAGAAGCTACAATTAAAATCTACATTTAAAAACAAATAATTCTATACACATTTTGAATAAATAATTAGTATGTGCTAGTT